ATTGGATTCAACTTTTTTAGAGGTTTCAATCTGGGGCAAAGAGAAGAAAAGGGATGAAGACGCAACGCAAGAGTGCTGCTTAGGTGCTGTCTTCTGATCTGTAAGAGACGCCTAAGAAAGTGTCTCTAGATAATCCTTTGGCTCCACGATGGTACACTGGAATCAGAGAAAATTATAATGAAATAAGCTATAGCTTGGCAGTAAAAGATAAACATTTGGAAGCGCACCTTCGCATTCTCGAGCAAATTTTAAGACACCGTTTTCTGCTCGTACGTTTCTTCTTTAATTTTCCAGGAGTTACACTAATGGACGTGGACTCAAACATTCACTGTCACTGTGTGGGCTTCCACCAGAGTTGGAACCATAAAAATCACTTGGACATGGCCTCATATTCAAGTACCTTGACATGCATCAGCAAAGATAAAAGTGGGCATTGCTTCTTCCACCCTCAATGCTCCAGATCTGCTCTGGATGTACCTTTTTTTTAAGTAGAATTAACAAAAATGGACATCTCCATATCTGCTTTTCGATAACAGGGGTCGTACTTGTTTTTAGCCGAGTCACAGATGAAATCCATGTGAGATTCCAGCAGCGCTGCGCGAGAAAAGACAACTTCTGAAACAAAACAAATCACGCGACACGTTATTGTGTTCGATGTTGGTTCGAGAAGAGAGAGAAGATCCGTTTGATTAATATTTTAATTTAATACATATGAGAATAATCTGATCATGTTATCAAATTTAGAATTTTATATTAACCTAGAACATAAATTGAAATTTTTAAAAATAACAAAGGGCCGGCGAGTGAAAAAAATAACCGCTACACAGAGTAATTTTCCCATTGCCTTGGCTTGCCATTCAGAAGGCACACCAAAACATTCCCCACTTGCAAGAGAAGCAATTTGTTGCTCAGACGAGGAGACATTGACCGGTGCTGAAGCAACTGATGACTGACGGGTACAATAAATATTGCTTTTGCACTTAGCAGCTGGTTGGGTTGTGTGTACATGATTATTTTTAAAAATATTAATTGATTTTTGCCAGAAACACTTCTAAAACGGAAGGCAGGTGAGGTTGACTTGAAAGGTTGCGTCTCGTCGTGTGCTTAGTCAAAAAGTAGCTCTTCAAACTTGGGGAGGGCAGGGGAAGAGATTGAGAATCAATTTTCATTACGAGTCTTCTTCTTCTTGTGTGAACGAGAATTAGACTCGTCACCTAACGTTAGCACAACCCATGGGATTTTGCCACCGAAAGCAGTACCTATCGTTCCAAATCAGGACAAGGACTCGTGTTACTATCGCAGGGATTTTATAATCGAATAGCTAAATGGCCAGCTAGCTTATACATTACCCTTTCTTGTTCAATTGCTGTTGTGATATTTTATATTTTTGGAAGTGATTGGTTTTTAAAATATTTTATATTAAGAAATATATTAAAATATTTTTTTATTTTTTTAAAATTATTTTTAACACAAGAACAAACGGTTCTAGAGAAAACTATTTTATCCTATTGTCTTACATTTCTCTCCTCAATCAAAGCCTCACGTAGTGGCTTTATAAGGACGCGGGTATGAGAACAGTACTCTGAATCAGTCACCATGTAGATCGCAATGGACTTGGATCCACCACGAGTGTTGAGCGTAGACAGACAGGGAATCAATAAGTTGACACTGCAAGAGAATGGCTGCAACATTTTGACCGGAGCAAGCTCACCACCCGCAATGCCGATCATCACCAATGGTTATTCCTTCTTCAGAACAGCACAGATCCTAAAACAATCAGAATGGATGTTTCATAACCATGGTGATTCCAGAAATTGACATGCCATCATGCTCCTACGAATCACATTCAGAACCCATCCACTCTGTTAACAATTTGAAAATGCAAAAATCTCGAAATTTCAAGATCTCAATCTAAGAACAAGTCACCTAGAAGTCACATCTCGATTTCAACCCAGGAATATCTCGATTTCAACCCAGGAATCATGCTCTCAACTCAGTCTCCATGTCAGAGAGAAACTGAATAAAAGCTTTAATGTCCATCTTCCCTGATTATAACCTCATCGCAGCTCATATCCTTTAAGCATCTCTTTCCGGTCAATATCCTTATTGTACATTATGCATAATCTGAATTTCATTTTAAACACTTTCTTCCTTGGCATCTCAGGTGGCACACGCCAAACGCGATTCCATAAAGCAACAACCGATAAAAGATTGCAAAGAAGAGTAGAAAAATCATACACCATGCATGCATATTCCCAAGCAAACTAACATCTAGGAGATAAGCCCCGATTATTTGAAACGAGTTTCATCCAGAAAGGTCATTGCTTGTATACTATTGGAATGGTCAATGGTGTCTTGAAAACAATCAAATGTAAAGCAACAATTTATTGACATTCAACATTTCAACCATTGCTGGTACCTGGAATCAATATGGAAGGATAACATATCCATTCACCCACGTCCAACTTATCAGCAGTCAAGGCAATGGTGATTCTTTAAGACACCAGCCCCAACGCTAACAATTGTTGTTATAGAATTAAGATAACTAAACACCAACGTGAATCAGGTATATCATCAAATTTAATAATTAATATAAATTATTTCAAGTAAATATAATAACTAACAATATAATTAAAATAAAATGTTAAAAGAAAGAATTTACAAACTTATTTTTAATGCAGCTTGACAAGCCTAAATCAATATCTCAAGTGCTAAATCATATTTAAATATTGTTGTGGAACTTAAAAAATTTATAATTTAAATATAAAAATATGTAAACTCTCATTGAAACATAAGACTGAAAGTGGTATAATCTCAACGAGTAATAGAAACCAAAATAAAAAATAATAGATAGATAATGATATATAATGGAAAGGATGACCTCTAAAAAATGAATTTTAGCTTATAATTCATAAGATAAAGAAACTACTAATGCATTTTGATGGACAAAATAATAAGAAAAATAATAAAATATTTTTAAATAATAAGTGAGGTAATAAAAAATAAACTATAATAAAGAAAAGTGTAACGAATAGGACAAGACTAAAGATATAGGCATCAATTAAAAATCAGTGATGTTACTTTAAAATGGTAATAAGTTCAATAAATAAATAAAGATAAAAAAAATTAAAATAAATATATTCCAAAATAATAAAATGTTCTTAAAGGTTTAGAAGAATAATTGATATGATTTTATGTGAAGACCGAAGAATAAAATCTAGATTATTGATGAAAAGTCATGAACTAATTAATTTTATACTAAAATGTAAAGCTCTAAATCCAATAATTGGATTGAGATGTAATTTTGCATAAAGTCAATAATATGTTCTCCTTTCATCTCAATTGAAGTTTGATAAAGACTAGAGATTTAAGTTGAAATAAACTATGTGAAAAATAAAACAAATATATAAAAGTATAAATGATAAATAAAATTATAATTAAGGTAAAATATCTCTTTAAAATAGCAAAAAAGCCACAAAAACAAAAACAAAAGGAGAGATAATAGAGAAAATTTAACTAGAGAGAAGTAAAGAAGTTAAAGGAGCCAATAATATTTTTATGACCATATCTCTAGCATCAACCGTTGGATCATGCTATGTTTTGAACATGTTCTTCTCACACTCCTCTACCAACTAACTAGAAGGATTGAAAAGAATACAATATGTTTAATAAAAATTATTATTGGTAATTTTCTAAAAAACAAAAGAAAATATACTTGAAAGGTAATTTTGGTTGCTGACCAATTTCTCTCTTCCATCATTGAATTATGTCTATTTTTTTATCTATGATACATCCAGATGTTGCCTTCATTCTAAACAATGAAGATCAGAAGTATACGTTTCAATAAAGTGTTATTCATGTTGAGCAAATAGCTCGTTTATTTTTAGGTTAGTTTAGTTATATTTAGATGTAGAAAAATTTAACTGTTGAATTATTCTGAATTTAAAATATATTGTACTTGATTCTGAGGTCTATACTCTGACCTTTGCGCCCTAAAATAACAAATAAGGTGGATGTCCTATTAACTTTTGACTCTATAGTTAGTTTTGGCCAAATTTAGGAAACTAGCAATAGATTTTTTCTCACCTGAAAGTATATTACCTTCAAGATTTCTCTCTTGATAAAATTTTATTACTAGTATCGAGAATTTTTACCCAACACTCAAAATTCTACAAGAATAACTTGTTTTTCACAACTCTCTTTGTACAGGGGACAATACAACTCAAATTATAACTCACAAAATTTTGTGAAAATAAAAATAAATATTTTTATGCTAGAATATAAATTTATAATATCATAATTAAAATATAATTAATAATTGATAATTTTATAATTATTTTGCTTATAATAATAACCCGTATATAATACCTTTTTGAATCTTCTTTTAACTTTACAATTAAAAGCAAGCTGTATATATACACACATATAAACCAATCATTATAATTCCACTAGCAACTTAAATGTTCAATAAGTTCGAATTAAACGTTCAGTAAGGTTAAATTGATCCAATCAATCGATTGACTAGTTTCAATAAAATTCTTAAAGTGTTCAAGGACCAACTCACACAAAAGTCGAGATTTATCAATTTATCCTAGGTGAATTCGAACTGCTTATTCTAAATTTTATTATCAATTCTAATATGAAAATTCATTTTAATTGTGCTCTAAGTAAAATATTTCACCACTAAAATAAATACTTAATCTAAATATTTAATTTTTTATAAGTTTTTCATATAAAAATTATTTAAAATTTATTCTCATCCAAATATGAGTTTATTTTCTATACACATATATAAACATGAACACGCAACATGCAACGGAGTTAAAAGATCAACAGCCCACCAAACTCTACATAAAAAATCCCAGTCACACTCCATGGCCAAGCTAGCCATTTCCATGCACTATAGCACACCAGAAATTCCAATACTTGAATCAGTTACGTTCTTATTCCCATTCGGTTCTGTTTTGAAGTAATTAAAGCCAAAAGTAGTGCAAAGAACAGAGATGAACAATTGCCATTCTCATATTCCAAAGCATATTACCATCAGTTCAATTAAAAACCTCAATTTGTTAACAGTTGCATCCATAGAACCCAGGCAGTGCCTTAACCCCAAAGCCTCAATCACAACCCCATGAAAACAAAAAATACATTAAATGGACAACAATTAATCTCTACTCATGAAGAGTACCCAAGATATCTTCGTCCCTATACAAAACATACCTGCAAGAGGAAAAAATAACCAACACGGATCAACAACAACAGAAATAAATTAGTAAACAAACCAAAAAAAAATACCATAAATCAAAACTTTAAATCATTATGAATAAAGGACATACTCTTTTTCACCAAGTTTGACTTGGGTGCCCCCATATTCAGGCAAAAGCACAGTGTCACCTTCCTTCACAGCTGGAGGGATAGTGTTCCCTTCAGAGCTCCTCAACCCAGGACCGACAGATATCACTTTCCCTGAGTTAAGCTGTTTTCATTCAAAACTCATCACACCCACTTAGTTTAACTCTAATCTTAATTCAACAAAGAAACACATTCAGACGGAGATATGGAAGAACCAAAAGTAAATGAATTACCTTAGTGGATGCCTCCGGGAGAAGAATACCAGCAGTGGTTTTGGAGGGAGGGATAATTTTCTCCACCAGGACGCGGTTAAGAGTGGGAATCAAGCGCCTTGCCATTCTTTTCTTTTGCTAAGAAACTCTGGCAAAATGAAAGTGCGAAGTTGCAGCTGCAGATCTCTCCTTTTAAAACAAGAGGTTGGATTGCCGTTGGGGATGAAGGAATTGGGGATCAAGGTTCTCTAGAGAGAAACGGAAGCTTCTAGATTTAGGTCCTAGGGTTTTATTAGGGTTTTACATTTACTTGAAGGGCTACATGTCATTATGGGTATCCAGTTTCAAGTATGGGTTAGGAGCGGGGATGAAAATGCGCTGGATTCTGGCCGGTTAAACAAACCCCAAATCCGACCCACTTAAAAATGCTGTGCCCTGTACTCGGCCCAGCATACATGCGTTAAAGAATCACCCCCAAAAATCCATACCCTCTATGTACATCGAAAGTAGATTTTCACTGATTTTCATTCTTTACTCTTTACTTTTCGAAAAATTATTCTGATCCTTCTGTCTTTAATATTTTTTTTACAAGTATGTTTCTGGTCCTCGATTCATTTGAGATACATGTTGGTTTCCGAGTCAAAAAAGGTTTTGCGATTAGATTTTTTTTAATTTAAAAAATTGGATTTGTATTTTATCATGTTTCAAGCAACATGATGGATCATTTTCGTGAAATACAAAGTATTAATTTGAGATCACCAGTTAAAATTATTTCACAGAATAAAGTTCACCATATAAAATAACCAATGATTTTAGAGAAAAAAAACCTTATAATCACCCACTAACTTACAGGGATGAAATACTCAGTTGATTTAGATTTCATAAACATGATATGTCATTTTTTCGAGAAATCCCAAGAAAATCACCTGTGCTGAGTATTTGTCCTTACAAGTTACAGGCTTGTACATGGATAGCTGAGCTTGATACTTCGCCAAGATATTGTGGACTCGATGAAAAAGTATTCTTCTAGGCATGAATAAAATGCCGGTTTGACTCCTTTTCAATTGTTATGGGCGGCTCTGATTCATTAATGGAATGGTGAATATAAGGTCCAGGTTGAGAAAAGTAAATACATGGAGATAGATTTTAGAAGAAATTAAAAATACTGGGATGATTTCCACTATTAACCCGCTCTTAATTTCTGAAGAGATAGTGAAATACGATGCTCAGATTCTGGGCAAAAGAGAGAGTAGAAAATAATGAGAAAAAACAAGAGAAAACGTGAGCGGCAGGATTCGAACCTGCGCGGGCAGAGCCCACATGATTTCTAGTCATGCCCGATAACCACTCCGGCACGCCCACCCAATGGTCATCTGCTGGCGGTATGAATTATTAATTATTAAAATCTCTGGTGTAAAATATTAAATAAGATCCTTTTTTTCTGCAAAGTAGAATGGTAGAAACGAATTCGGGGAAATAACATTAGGAGAATAACACGGGGTAGAAAGTCATATATGATATCTCCACTTTAAAAATAAAAATTAAATTAATTCAAACTTCGCTCCTATGCAAGAATAAGTGCTTTTTTCTTATACAAACTTGACAAGTAAAAAGAACAAGTGCTATATTCTTGTGTAAGAATGGAGTTTGATTTATTTTTAAAACTTAAATTTTTAAATAACTTTTAGGTTTAGCTACAACATGCTAACTCCATCAATTGAAATTGAATTTTAAAGGCTTAGGGATTTGAAAGAAACCTCAGAGGAAATTCCAATCAATTAGTCTAGTATACTTGACGAGAGCTTAATATAGTTATGTTTTTCTTTTTCCTCTTTGGTTTGTTTTATTCCGATTTTTTTCGTCGACCTTTTCTGGTTTATGGGTTTTCCTTTTTTTCTTTTTCCTCTTTCGTTTGTTTTATTCCGATTTTTTTTCGTCGACCTTTTCTGTTTTTTGGGTTTTCCACTTTCCTTTTTCTTTTCTTTAAAGTTTTTATCTTTTTTTTTTATGGATTTTCGAAATTAATTCTCCTTTTGATGTTAATTTTGGGACTTTTTCTAATGATAAATACATCGAGAGAGAGAGAGGGAGAGAGAACCCCTCAATTTCTTGGCACCAATCCATGTTTCACGAGGCTCTCGCTTATTAAGAGAGTTCTTGGCATATATTTTTATATTTTTTAAAAGTATTTTTTTTATTTTTAAAAATTAAAATAATATTTTTTAATTGTTTTTTTTATAATTTTGATATGTTGATATAAAGAATAAATAAATCTAAAAAAATATTTTATATATTTTCAAGTAAATGATTAATGTATAATGTAGTTTTATAATACAAGGAAATCATCAATAATATCGTCGTAACAAAATGAGTAAAAAATAACCGGACTAGAATACAAACTACGTCATTTTCTTGAAATGATATATGACGTAGCTTATGAAATTTATATGATACAACGTATTACCAAGATGACGTTGCACACTGTCTTAAAAACAACAATAGCCTAGTCCTTTTTATAGCAATTTTATAAGCTGAGAAGTTCTCATGCAAATATACTTTCAAGAAAACCAACATAATTATAAAATTAATATTGAATTTTTCTATAACATGGAGTTGCATTCCAATTTGAGCAAGATGCTTTTCACCAAGTAGGCGATTACAAATACAGGGAGCCATCATGACATCCAATTAAACTGCCAGCCATTGGCATTTCTCTCTAATAGTTTCATAGCCTTGAAACCAACCATGGCTTCATAAATTGTTGCCAATAAATATTATTATCAATCTAATAAGAATAAAAATAACAATTTTTTTCTTGACCTTCCTAAAAAATAATGCGCGCGCGCGGATAACCTCAGTCACAATCGGACATCTTCTTGATGTTGGGCTATGGAGACGTGTAGAACTCTTTTCCCAATGGTATCCTGTGGAGGAATTCGTGGAACAGGAATCCATGTATGAAAATAAAGGCAGCAAAGCAGTCTCTTTTATAAAATGCTATGGTCCTGTCCCTATATATATATAAAGTAGTAGTTTTCTTTAATTCGATATTGAAAACCTCTGGAAACAGCAAAGACAGGTCATATGCTTTCGGAGGGCAAAGTGATGGATGATGGAATATGAAAGAAGAAAGGGAATACAAAGCAATGTCCTTGCAATGTCAGCTGTATTTGAAAAAGTAGAACTGGGTGCGAAAGATCTTTTCTGCTAGATAACAAATGACTGGTGGTGGTCGAGAAGAAAGACATGTCTTTCATGCCTTCTTATGAGCTCCAACAAGTTGGTGCAATGATGCATGGTCTGGAAATTTTCTTTATGGTATGTGTGTTAATGATAGAACTGCAGCAGCGATAATGGTGGTGATCTATTCTGTTGAATCTTTTAAGTGGCTGTCCATTTCACACAGGCTTCACAGAATATTCATTTCTTTATAGGTCCCTCTCCCAACAATCGAGTGGTCGGAAATTTCTTTGCTTTGTTTTCGGTTTATGGGAGACTTGATGAATTTTCACTATCAGAACACGTTGCAAGAGGAAAGAAAGAAGGGATTGTTCAGATGGTGGCGATTGAATTCTGATCAAAGGTTAAAGAACTAGAGAACAAAAGAACTTGCAGCCCATGTTGTTAACACATGCCATTTCTTTCAGCACTCGAATTCAGATTATGCCACATATCATTGCGATACAGTGGGGTTTGAATGGTTTTGCACCAGCCGAACAGTCTCTCTCTCTCTCTCTCTCTCTCTCTCTAGCTTGGTTCAAGGATGGCCGGACAATAACTAAGCTTGTTGCTAATTGTGAAATTATTAAGTCTTTAAATGGGACCTTAGACTGCACAATGGCAGCTTGAATCTTTCATTGTCTTCACTTCCTCTGTCTCTGTAGAAAACCAGTTTCTTATTTTTAGTTACAAATGAGAAATCTCACCTATAATGTTTCGGGAAGAGTAAGACATGAATGCCTGTTAAGTCACGAATCTACTGTCAAATTAAAATTTATTCTAAAGCTATTTGGGCATTTAGCAATTATGCGATTTGATGATTATTATACCAGCCTTGTAAATTATTGATAATTTCGTGACCCTGAACCATCTAATAAAACATCATAATCATACAAATCCACGATCATCGTACACAATCTAAAACGTAAGTGCACTGACCATGATCCCATTTTAGGTAGATATTTGTTGTGAAATTAAAACCTACAATTATTGATGAACACCGTAATAAAATAAAATAAAAACTAGAAAAAACATAAAAGTAATATAATTATATTCATAGTAGCGAAGAGTTTTATTTTCACTAAAACAATGTCACATAATATATATTTATAATAAACTTTGAATCATTCAAAGAAAACCTAATCATCCAAAAAATACTATAATCATTCAAAGATAAATGGCCCGTCGCCTGAGCTGAGTTCACGCTTCATTCAGATGGATGCAAGAACAAAGAAGATAAGCAACTCAAACAAAGCTCGTGATTAGTTATTCGTTTACTTTTATCTGCACCTTAACTTTGTGTCTCGCGTTGTCATTCCTTTCTACAACAAATGATTACTTCCTTTTCTGCTCCAATCTCTTCTTCTATTCTATCCTTTTGTTTCTTTAAAACCCTATAATTCTCGAGTTCGAACAAGAAAGTAAGTGCGGGAGAGTCTCGAAGTATGGGAAAATAAAAGAGTAGATTTGATGAGGATTTGGATATCCAAAGCCGAGCTTATCTCTTGTCACAGTTATGGTTCAAAAGTGGCCATTCTATGAACTCTGCAAATAATGGTGCTCGTTATAATTATACTTTGGCAGTTAGTGCGGGACTTCCCTTGCATGGCTGGTTCGGAAAGGTCAAACCACTTTTGGTGGGTCCAAATTGCCACTTGTGATATTTTCACATACTAGCTGATAATAATCAATGTACCAGGATAGAAAAGCTTAAGCATCAAACACAAACAAGTGGACTAACTATGCTCATTGGATTCTAATGTGAAACCTGAACCCCACTTATATCAGCCTATTAACCTATGAATAGCATTTCTTGCCTGATTGTGCTATGGAGGCGTGTTTCTGTAATTCAACGTGTTTTTAAAAGTATTTTTTAATTTGTTTTTTCTTGGAAAAATATTAAATTATTATTATTTTAATGTATTAATGTCAAAAAAATTTAAAAATGTATATAAAAAAAATAAGATGAATGCATTTTCAATTAAAAAAGATTATAAAAACACCCTTAAATCACATTACCAAATAACAATTCAGTGTGATTACCTTTGACCAGCATTTGTTCAGCTGATGCTGCATTGTACA